TAATCAAACAATAGATGATTTGATGAAATGCAAACCTAATGCTGTGAAACTGCATGATCCAGTTACTGTAAAGTGAATGTTATGGAACTTTTCCAGCATAAGAAGTTGACAATCTATGGCTTGTGGTGGACCCAATACCACTAGCCCCAAGTAATTATTCTGACTGTAGATGATCTTATACTCACAGGTTTTTTACTAGGAAAAGTTTTTCTGAACTCAGCCTACAACAGTATTGACAGATAACTATGCCCTATGTGAAGCCTTTTACAATTTTCTTTCAACTTACTGCCCTCCTCCTGTAAAATCAGATGGACTGAAGCACTTGTCAATCTTTGCTGTGCTGCTGTTTTGTCCTTTTCTTCTTTTAACATTTTTCAAATGTGTGCAATTCTCCAAAGGATGCAAAACATTCTGTTCCTACCATTCTCCAAGTTAATAACAATGTAACTGTGTATAAATTATTTCGGATCAATCTTGTTATTACTCATATCTCTGGAGATCATTTCCATTGTGATGCCTGTTTTATTTCATGTGTTAAAATATTAATGACTACAGAAAGCAATTCAAGGAAATCTAACTATTATTTTGGACAAACACTGGGTTTGCCAACTCCCTACTTGCATCTGTCTTCTCCCTTCCTAATAAGTAATTAAAACAAGACTCCTAGCAAAAACTATAATGGCAACATTGTTAATGTGTGCCATTTTAATAACTATTTACCCTGGCTGGTTTCCTTCTACTGCCTCTACCACTACATAGTCACTTGCTAACAAGCTCGCTCTCTTCAATTACAAAATTCTTTTACTGAAAGGCTATTGAGAAAGAAAACTAGCAACTTTCCTGAAGATGAGTTACATTCTTAACTGAGTAGCAGTTCTGATGAAGGCCTTCCTTGATCTGTAGTGTAAAGTTCAAAGCCTCTCCTTTTGTCAAGAACAACATCTCCCAAATCCCAGTTTTAAAGGCTTACATCACCTGTTCAAGAACAATATCACTACTGGAAAATTACTGTAACAAGACTTTACGCCCCCTCCTTGTAAATACCAACTGACATGTGCTGACTTCCCTGCACAGTCAGTCTCTCCATTCTCCTGGTGGCTCTAAGAAAGTATCATTCATTATCTACCATAAAGCAGAAGAGTATTAGGAAAAGGAGCAAAGTCACCACCTAACCAGAACACTAACAGAGGTGAATGTTACACCATCAGCAGATGGTATGAAATGAGCTAGTAACTACAACCCTGCAGCTGGTCTGTTAGAGTCAGCGAGGAGGTGAGGTTAGGAAGATGCAAATGATCTAAAGATCCTCCATTTCCACATATTCAGAGTTTCTGATTTCGTTGACAGATCTTCACACCCTGTGGATAGCTCAGGAACACCCAGAGCTCTAAAGTTTAACCCAATTAAAACTTTAAAGATACTAGTTACAGAAACAATGAGAAAACAAGGAAGTATACTTGAAGGAAAACTTGGAAGAATGAACTCGCTCTCTCTCTCTCTTCAAGGGACTGATTTTAACATGGCAAGCTTATATTCAACCACTATCTTTTCACTCACTATTGACTACATTTTTTAATGACCTTTTATCATGTACAACCTTGTGGAACTGTGTAGAACACAGACGATGAACACAGAGCACAAAAGTTTTGCCTTTATCCTTTCTACCTCTTGTGGAAAGACAAGACACACAAAAGAAATTAATTCACCCACTTCAAATTTTCAAGACGGACCAACAAAAACCCCTTTAAGCTATATTCAAGAATAATCTGCTTTCTTTCTTCCTGGTAAGTAGAAGTAAAAAAGCTCAGTAGAATAAAGTCCAGGGAACAGTACAACAGAAGATACAATACCACACACTTGAAGGGTCCTAGCAAAAAGTGACCTCTCCTTGCAAGTGTAGAGTACTAAAAGGCAGCATAATTACAGAGAAAAGAATCTCATATGCTTGTGAATAGTTTTCTAGAATGTAATTAAAACAGAAGTGTTGAATAAGCAAAGATTATCAAGTCTAAATGGAGCGACAATACCACCAATATATCTTAGCCTGATTTTCTACATATCTCTATGGATACCAACAGGCTATGCTGGTCCCAAGAGGATTCAGTGGTTTTACTTAAAATATAAGTAATGGCCCTTCTTTTTTTATACTACCAAATCAACAGGATAATTCTGGAATTCATTAGTGAAGAACACTAACCAATCCAACATAATAGCTTTACTTCCTCTGCAAAACACTTCAAAAAATATCCAAATGAATATGGAAATGCATCTTTCTGTGGTAAATTGTTCATTATTGAATCATTATCAACTCTTGTTAGACAAAATTTCTCTCTTTTGCAATGTACAAGATCATTAAAATGTTTGAGAGCTCCATCATGAAAGACAGTGGCACTTTATAATCCACTATCTCTTCAGGCAAATATGCTTACGGCTGAACATAATACACAAAATAACAACATCCCCTTGACACACAATTCTTTCTTTTAATGGTGCTCTTAAGTGTTGACAGCAATGGTGAAATATGTTGTTGCTCTTTCTCTGTCTTTTTTTTTTTAATAGTTTTTAACTATTTCAGAGATGTATTTCAATCATGATAAAATGTTGGGAAAGGGTGGATTTCTTAGACCTTCACTGTGGAACCCCAGATGCTCAGTCACTGCTGTAAGCCTGGTGAGATATTTCCTATAAGCTCATCAAGTTCATGTTCTTAGCCTCTGTCTCCTTATAACCTCAGAAGATCATGGAATAACCAACCATCTATCTGCATAACCAATATCATCTATCTGCATTTCCTAATAAAGTGGATGTTTTCATTCTGTTTATGGGAACATAGCCACAATTTGATATTAAAAAACTGTCTAACTTTTTTTTAATCTAAATAGGATCCGGAAGAAATATCATTTTTCTTTTCAATAATCAACGACAAAACTATAAATAGTGGAACCATATAGAAAAATATTATTCTGTGTTTTAAAGTAACTTTTATTATTCTTCTCTCCAAACTTTCAGCATCAATTAAGATACACTGCAAAAACTAATGATGCACAAAGCTAAATCCTATGCTGTAATATAAGTAACATGAACATTTTCTTTTTTTTTTGCTATGACAAGCCAAAAACCACTGGTGGAATAGCTTTAAAAGCATATTTCTAGAGTTTTGATGTATACATACCTTAGAGATATATATTGAAAGCTTTCTGTAGTTCTTCACTGCATATTAAGGAAGTTAAGTACTTTTTCTCCAAGCACATAAAATTCCTAAGAACTGTAAGCCATAAAGTTTTACAAAACTACTTCAGTTTTCAAATGCTTTAAGAGAGTTACACAATACATAACTTGCAATTTGGTAATTCTCTCTTGTTAATTCTCTCTCCATCTAAATGTAGGCTGAGGCTTCTTCTCAAGTCTGTATTAATGATAGAATTACACCATGTCTAATGGAATCATCTCTTCAATAAAACTGAACAACTAAGAAGATACAGTTGCACCAATTATTTTCTTCATATATTTAAAGGCATGCATTGTTTAGAAATTGGATGGCTTCAATTATAAACATAAGGAAATGCTTTGCCTTTGTTAATACAAATTAACTAATAAAATCAAAATTTGCTATGTGTTTTGTAAAATAAAAACAGCATCAGCTACAAAGCCTAGAGACATTCTAAATATGCTACTGATCAAAATACTGGAGAAGATATTGAAGTACCTTGTATTTCTAGTTTCCTGTATTTGAAAATAGCCAACATCTTTGAAAGAATATTGGGGGGAAGCTCTACTCTGCTTTAGCAAAATAAACACTACATTTTAGCTTTATTGTCTTCAGACAGAAGTATCATTGACCAGTTGACATGTTCTCTCTGCATTCAAAGTCTACAGAGATGGTCATTTTAAAATTATATTTTCTGCTTCGCATATTAAAGTTCAAACAAAAATCTGTTTTCAGCAATAGCTTCTTTGTCTGCTTCTTTCAGAGAAAATTAAAGTAGTAAACAAAGACTGAGCAAAGTAGAAAGATTTCCAAAAGAAATTGCAGACCACCAGGATTTGGATTTAGGTAATCCACTTAGATTACCATGGCTATGTCTTAAAAGGACAATACTGAGATCACAAAATAGGTCATGCCTACAAGACACAGAATACAGAAGTATAACAATGTGAAATGCACAAATTCATAACAAACATTCAGAATCATCCCTAAGTTTAAGATAGAAAACAAAAACTGTCTCACAGCACCATGTTTTGCCAAACAATAAATATTTTGAAATCAGCATTTTTATGCACCCAAACTGCAACAGGGAAGAGATTTTCAAACAACAGCATCAATACATTAACATGTTTCAGGTAACAAAAAGTGCAGGCAATGAAAAAGAAGCTTTTAGTACCTAAGGCCACGATATAATACATAGTTTGCTTGCCTTTTTTCCAGTTTCAAATGCAGAAAAGGTTGGGCACCCACAGGCCTGGAAGCAGTAACTACATTTCCAGCGAAACAGGAGCTTCCATCTACTTCTTACAAGTGACAGAGCTTCTAATACAACAATATTTTTCATTTTCTAATTTCTTTGGTAAGTGGCAAGTGCTCAAATTATTAACTGAAGAGAAGGCCAAAGTAAATTTGTAAGCAGTTCAGGAACTGAGTATTAGAAAAGTGGTTTTTTGAGAATGCGCAAATTCAAAATTGCTATAGATGTCCTCCAACAAAAAGTTAAGGAAAACTAAGCTTTAAAACAATTTAGTATTTATATCAAATCCAAACATATCAGTTTTCCAGATCAACTTGAGAAAATCTAGGTATTCTCTTGTTCTATAAAGTCCTGGACAATGGCCTTTATGAGGATTCACCCAACATTAAAAGATTTGAATAGGAAAGTCAGTGTTGCTATGAGAAACACAGCAACTTCCAGATGCTTGACATGTCAGGCCTAGACAAGGGAATGAAAAATGTCTCTTTCTGACCAAAGAGGCTTTGAGGGGATACTCGTAAAGAATTACCTACTTACCCATCAGATTTGAGTTCATGAAAGGTGTCGGGGACAATCCTTCATGAGGCCCTAATCGACTGTCATTCAAGTGATCACTGTAATGAGGACTGTCTGCAAAACCCTAGAGAAAAAAAGACCAGAGTATTAAACAGATTATTTGGCAGCCCTGCTAATTGAGTGTAATGACACTTTCCTAATTAAATGTGCAGAGTCACAATTGGTCATTAATCACAAAAGTTGGCTTTTGGGTCTATCTCACAGAAATTATTCTCTGCCCACATTTTACTTTCTCCCCCATCAAAAAGAAACCACAGAGTTTCTTAATAAGCTGTGTCCTCATGGACAATATTTCTAAAAATTGAATACGGAGATATTTTGATATTTGAATCCTCTTAGTGTTAAGTCGCTAACCACAGAGAGTAAAATTAAGCCTGAAAAATTCACAACTAAGGGTTTTTTTCCTAAGGTTTCTGTTTGCATTAATAAAACACAGTAAAACAGTCAGAAAGAGTCACTGATGTTAAGAAAGAAATGTTAGCACAAATGAGAAGAAGAAATACCATTTCTCTTTGCAGCCTGCTATTAATGTTACAGATTAATAGGCATTTTGACACTATCACATTACTGAACAGCACAGCTCACTGACAAAAGGTTTGCTTCCATACAGTGATTAAACAAACAACTTTGACACCTGATTTGAAAACAAGCACTGAAACTGAAATACTGTTTTGCACTTGTCTAGCACAGCCAACTTAGCAGGCTTGGAGTAACCCTTAGAGAGTCAGAAAGTATTGGCTTACTGAAGGCTTACACCAAAGGTATAGAGACAGGAAGCAAAGTCATCCTAGGATGCACATACTGTTTAATTAACCCCAATGACGTAAAACTCTCTTCAGCACATTTCAAAATGCTTTCAGCTTTTCCATATAAAGGTATGACCATGGTATTTGCCATGCAGACTGATCAAATGTGCCCTGAATCTCTTATCCTGTACCAAACCATGAAAGACTTGGCACACAAAATTACACCTCCTTTGTAGCCAAAGTTTTGAAAAACATTTTGCAAACCTTATCTTACAATTCACACTGACTCACTCCTCGTTCAAAAACCTCTAGCTCAGGCCTAATTAAGGAAGGAGGGAAAATTGTTTGCAGCTACCAGAAACCACCCCAAGTGCCCTGGGACTATAAAATCATCAATCACTGAACATTTATCATTTCTTCAGACCGCAGGCTCACATTCAAGACAACATTAATGGGGCTGAAACAGGCCTCACTATCTTTGCAGGCGTGCTGTCAGTTCCACCAAAGGGCTAGTAACTGAGGGCTAAATAACTGTCAAATCACTCCTGCTGCTTATGGATGCATGTCACAACTCTTGCTGCTGTTCGGCTTTGAAAGTAATCTTCTGGGAGTCCCAACTCCCAGATGAATCTTTGGCCGACTTTATCTACCTCAGAATCGGCGATACACATGTGATAGGCATTCAGAAACAATCTTAGTGACATTTACAACTTGGTTATGACCACAAGGGTGTCCTCTGGAAACCATGACCTAGCCCCGTCTGTCAGACAAGCAGCGTGGAGCAGCAGCTGCTGAGGAAATGGAGTGGCTCCTAGCTAAGGACACCACATGTGGTTTATTTTTATGCTGAAATGAAACAAAAAAGAAATTAAATCTGCTGAATAAAGAAGCAAAAATCTGCAAATACAAACCCATGAAGCTCCTAAGTAGGTAGTTTCCTACTTATGTCTCTGTTTATACTCATTACTGTGGTTATTTTTTAAAGACGGTTTTCCCTAAGACAATACTTCAGCTTTATTTTATTTTTAAAAGAAAGGAACCATGAAGAACACCATCAATGATAAAACAGAATCCATATCTCAGACAGTAAGAAAGTGGTGCCCAGATGAGACCCAGAAACCGAAATCTTAAAAGATAGCTTGATTTATAAAGCAAGTAACAAAACAACTGAAAATACAACAGGAGCAAAATTCATTTCATACACAGTCACACATCACACACCACAATCTGCCTAATGCACAGGATTCTTAATGCTCCTCCCCATGTTCACATGGCATATTCTCCACAAAACAGCAACTGGAGAACTAGGTGGGTGGGTGGTTTATACAGAAAGGAACATTCTCCCTTACATCACCCAAATTCCTTCAAAGAATATTTGATGTCACGTTCATAGCACATACCCTCTCTCAGTTTCCCAGAATGCACTTGCATTGTTCATAGCACATACCCTCTCAGTTTCCCAGAATGCACTTGCATCCAATTACCAAAGCATCCAAGTTATATTTCTACACAGGTAGACAAATCAACTACTTCATCTACCAGGAGAACGCTCCAAGTCATCACTCACAACCCCAAAGCCATTGAAAACAGAACATTTAGCATAGAGGGAGAAAATGTACTAAGGCATATGCAACTCCTAACTGAAATTAATTGTGTCAGGCATTTCCTTCTTTGCTGTTACAGAATTCACACTTGTGCCAAGTCTAGCCTAAGCCTTCATCTACAGTGGACCTATGTAAGGAGTTCTTACTTTGGCCACCATCCCTGACACCAGGTATTCAGAGTCTTAGTGTTGAGTTATGGATTATCAGCTCAAGCAGCAGAGTTGTGTTTGGGATTAGAAACCCTTGGGCTGATTCCCACATACAACTCACCCACACTAAATGAATGCAAAATAACCACACATACATGCAGTTTTGATTTAACAAACAACTTTTGCACTTCACAAAAGCAAATTAAGCAAAATCAGAAGAGCTCCAAGGACAATGATTTAAATTACATCGAGTTATTTCAGAGCATTCTTCACATTTAAGATGTACTTGAAATAAAATTGCATTCCTCATACCATTCCCTGCTTTTACATCTGTATTGTTAACCTACATAATAAACACCATCAAGTTCTACTACTAGGAAGAGCTATAATCAATCATACATGAAAACTTTAGAAGCTTCCAAAAGCTTCTGGAAAGCTACTGGAACCTTCTAGTCATCCAATCAAAGCTTAAAAAATGTATTTAACAAAGATGATAGTGCAAATTTACAAGAAACGTTTAGTGCTTAAAGAAGAACATGGTTGGGAGCCTTATAAAGTCTATCTGCAACACCAGTAAAGGATATTGGTTTCTTAAAAAGACACATCCCACCTGTGTGACTGAGTAAGGAACAGAAGACACCACTGGCTGCCACCTGAATTCATCCCTTACAGCAAAAGCAACAGAAGGTGCTGGTGGGGATTTACATGAACTTCTATGAGAGCTCCTTTTCAAACCTGTTCAAAAGACGACTCAATAATATTACTGCCAACTTCCATTCTTCCTTTCAGACAGAGGAAGGAAATCTCAGTTCACAGTAATTTTCAAGACTAATCTCCTGAAGCTCACTTGATCGTAGCTGGATTGATACGGGCTCAGGAACAGGAACTAATCAGTCACGCAGAAAGTTACTCTCCCTCTTGGGAAGAGCTATTAGACAGTACATATTCTGAGCTGACTCCACTGGAACAGGCTGGTGATGTCACTCCCTGGCCCACAGGTGGGCTTCCAAAGCCCTTTGGAGCATTTCTACCTGCTGCTACCTGCAGGGCAAGTTTAACACAGAAAGGCTGGAAGGAGACACTCCATGCTGAGTACATATCCCCATTTCTGCCACATTTCTCCTCAGCTGACATACCAATGGATTAGCATGCACCAGAGTGCACAGTTGGAGTGTTCAGCAAATAACTGGCAAAAAATCTGCAAAATAGGAGTTACTGGAGAAATTTATTTTCTGTCCTAAGCACCCTGTTCTGCAGGGACTGCAGACACCTAGAGGCATCTTCCTGTTTACAGAAAGAAAACTGATTTTGAATATGCTTGGAAGCCATAGTTGTAAACTCTAAACCATCTTGCTTGTTCCAACCTCTCACATAGCTCTTACAAAAGCAAGCTTTAACCTTCCCAAAGGAAGACAAAACTTCTTTCTGTACTGTTATAGGCCAAATAAAGTGTAATTGGGGTTAACTGTTCCCTTACAGCATTTTGTAATGTTGTCACTGTTAATTTTGCACAGGTCTCTCCCTGGATTTCAGTCTGACTGCATGTTTGTGATCAGAATGACCTGGTCAGACAGACCTACAAATACGAGCAATAAATACTGTCTACTAATAATACCTGTCACGAAATGCAGCTGAAAGACTACTGCTAATTAGCACTGCAATTTAACTGAGCAGTAAGGGCAGTCTCAACATGGAATGCTCTAACTTTATTAGTTTTTCAGGTGTTTCACTGGATTAGGGATGTTCTCTAATCATTCCAATAAATTAAGTCCCCCAATTAAAAAACTCTACAGTTGCAACAGTTTTCACTACCTCTTCTGGGTAAGATGCCCCAAGCGTCCAAGTGCTTCAGGCTTTATCTGCACCAGGAGGATTTTCCATGCACACATATGCTAACACAGCCAAACCAATTGCAAATCTGAGACTATTTACACCACCACAAATATATGTATACCGGACACCTGAAAATTCTCTCACAGAATGTATTATTCCAGAAGACGAAATGAAAAAAGAAGAAAAACCCACAACAAAACAAGAAAACACATTCCTTACTAGGCACATTTATCCTACCAAACCATAAAAGATGGCCTGACACAATGAGTCTATGCCCCAGTTCACAAATAAAGTGGTAACTAATCTCCTAAAACTCAGTATCTTTCAACGACCATTCAAGTTCTGTCATTTTGGTTGAACTTAATCACAGAACTCCCCTAAGAACAAACCAAAACTGATTTCAGTGTTCCTATCTGTGGTGGTTCGAAAGCCTCTGTAGGAGTCATCCTCTCCCTTCGACTTCAAAAACATAAAACTATTGTCTCTTTGCGATTATTTTCTGAAGTCACACCAGGATTTGTAAAACTATTGTCTCTTCGCAATTATTTTCTGAAGTCACACCAGGATTTGTCCATGCATAGGCAAAATTGTACTCCTGCCCCAACTCAAGCTGTGAGGGGTTTGGTTTTGTTCTAAAATAAGCACAACATCCTGTATCCACTTCAGGGTAACATGGGAAAAATGAAGGAAACCCTGCAACTACATGGCACACAATTTTCCTCTGCATTTATT